ACGGGCGTGAACACGCGCGCTTTCTGATTTACGACACTCTCAGATAATAAGCAACCGTACTCAGCGGTACCGTTACTTACTTCCCACACACGGTGAAATTGCGCAAAAATCGCTAATTATGAAATTATTTAATTGGGAATTTCTCCCTTTAAGGATGATCGGTGGAAATTACTACGGTGTAAAAGCATAATTAGACGACGATATTTCACGTATCCAAGAATCTTAGTTATGAATATTAAAATAAAAATATAAAGGCAATACTCTTATAACTCTTATAAGAACTCTTATAATCATAAATTAATGAATTACACAATTAATGAATCTTTCCAATTGATAATAAACAGATGAAATAAATCACTGTGCGCTAAGATTGTTAGGAAAGAAACTCGCGATTAATTCAACACTATAACGTTCCTTGCATAAAACGCGTCGCATTCGTTAACGGAATACATACTGGAGGGTCGAAACGACAAAGAATTCGTCCGAATTTTATGGCGCGGACCAACCGCGCGAACAACTTCTTCTCTCCCTCTGCCGGAACAAAATGGCGTTTCTTTTAATTTACGAATCGTTAATGTCGTCTGGGTGAGCACTAAAGTCGATGAGAGTGCCGCGGCTGCGGACGAGACCGGAGGTTTAAGGTCGGTGTAAATTTCGTTGGTGTTAAAGAGGTGCAAAATTTTTTAAATCATCTGGTCGAGCGTTCCGCTTTCACGATAATGCAAGAGCTCGCGGTGTATAGGACGACGCCTTTCGGCAACTTTGTTTCGGCATCAATATGCATCGTCGTGCAGAATCAGCAATATACGCTCGAATAATACAATTATTGCAGAGAGTTATTACAGAGAAAACGGAACCACTTTTTTTGAAATTATTATGCGGATGAAAAAATAAGCCGTGCCTCAAGAAACAAGTAATTTTATTATGTAAAATATGAACCAGATACCATGAATTTTTTTTTCTTTTATACAGGATTTATTATACTTACATTAATTTCAGATAAATTTTTTCTTACCGCAAGTCTCGTCATAAATTCAATTATAACAGAATATGTTACATATATAAAAAGAAATTTTTTTTTGAGGAATTTCAACACTCTCAGCGTCTAATTTCTACGCGACGATGTAGAGAAGCTACAATTTATATTTATCAAATATCTGCGCGTTTATTGTGGGAAGAGAGTAACGAGTAATAACGGCATGCAATTGTTAGCACACACATTTATTTCACTTTCGGTAAGCTCGCGAGGCGAGAGAATAGCGACGCGGCCGATATGGTTACTTTGTGCGCTTGGATTTTGAGTGAGAAGATTCACGAGCTTTTTACGACCCACCCGCTGCGCAGGCTGAGTCACTTCGCGACGTATGTGCTGGTGGTCGTTTCAGGGACCGTAAGTACCCACATTACCAACGAATATTGCCGATAAATAACGCGTCCCACTTCCTCGTAAAATCAGATGTACACTCTACGCGAGCTTCCCCCTTCGTCGAGAGCTCGGACCCGTCTATTTCTATACATTGTAACCCGTTCCGGTGATAAAATTATCTGTCGCTATTTCTGAACTGCCCTGATCCGTTTATTGCACTCAGTATAATTGTTCATAGATTTCACACTGTCATAAAGTACTCGCAATAATTTTATCCATTTGTCACAGATGTCATCTATACTTGTTATACACAGCTGCTGTGAATAAACTGCATTGATCGGATTTATAGCGCATTATTTGTTCTATTAGTAATACCGTAACATAATTATTCTGACATTACCTCGACGTCTCGATTATTGACGCTAATATGTAAATAGCGTGTGTCTCGAATTTCGATACAGCAACGTTTCGAGACACCATCGTGCAATGTCGTGCATATGCATTATGCACCGCAGTGTTATTAATGCGTCTCGTAAACGCGAGCGCGCGATGGACGACGTCTATTAAATTCGACCGGATGCTAAATATACTGATTCGCCGCTGCAGGTGGCAATGGTACATTATTTAAAGGAATAGACGACCGATTTTAAAACGTTAAATTTTCTCGTCGTTCTCGCAAAAAGAAGAGTATTTTCAGAGAGAGAAAAAGGCTCTACATGAAAATCAAAATGTGCGCGTTTATTTGTTAATAACGTGACCACCCAAAAAATCCCAAGTTACGATTTCGTAAGAAATCTATGAACTTTCATGAAATATAAATATAAAATCATACTATATAATTAAATAATAATTTGTCAAAATGTAGGGAAAGGGCCAGCTTGATATAAGACCAAAAACCATAAACCAAAGACTAAAGACCAAAGATCAGACCAGAGATCATTTTTATGCATTTTTACACAACAAAGATAAGAATTGACGGAATATCGAAATTATAAAGTCCATGATTGCTAAATTAAAGTCAAAATTAGGAGAACCTGTAAAGTCGAGTGAATAATGAAGTTCGAGAAGGTAAAAGCTTCGCGAGTTCATCGAATCATCTATCAACTGTCGTTTTTTCTTCGATGTTTATTTCTCCGCGAGTCTATTCGATCGCTCATTTCGTTCGCCGATACTTTAATCCGATTGATCGATCTCCGATTCGCGACGGTGCCATTAATTTCTTCGATTCGTGACGATGGATCCATCAACACCGCAAATACCATTAGCGCATACCGCGGCTTTTTGTAATTAACCTTACCAATGATTGCGAAATCGTCTGGTATCTTGCTAACCTATCGGGCTCCGTCTCGATTAATTAATCTAATCACCCTTTATAAGCTACCCCGACTTTCATCCGATCATCGCCGCTAGAAAGCGGCGGAGCTCGCGATCACCAATTATTTTGACGCATTATAATTAACATAATCTTGCCTAATCCTTCATGGAGCCAATCATTTTTCTTCTAAGAAGAAATATCTACCGGCAATCTTTTTCAATAAATTTTTTTAGCGATAAAAATAATTTTAATTAATTTACTTTCTAATTTTTATATTTTCAATTACAATTCAAATTAATAGGTATCGAATATTTTCTCTCTTAGCAACTTTTTGTCGATATCTACACGTTCGTTCGAAAATCATATACAATTGCTTCAAAATATTAGCATTAGACATATGCAGTGTCTTTCTCGCAATAATCACAAAAAAAAATCCTCAAAAATAATAGTCAACCGTCTTGGATTCTCTCTCCGATTATGATTCTAATCATGATATTCCAGCTATTTATGAGACTGTGATAATGCTGAAACAGGCGCAGATATTACGCGGACGCACGACTAGACATTAGTAAACTCCTCCTTCTCGCGAACATTGACATTAATTTAAAACTCGTCCGGTCGAGATCTTATCGATGTATTTCGAAAGCGAATCGTGTCCGCGCATATATAAGGCGTAATGCATACGACGACATGCATATGCATATAAGCGTTTGTATAACGTCACTATTTATTTTTATTTGCAATTCGAAATTGCGTCTCGCAGCAAAATAATGTCATTAATTTTAAACATAATTTTGAGTGATAATTGAATTTTAAGGGAGAAAATAATATCTAACGTAAAGGATTTTTGGGAAATTATCGCGAAGTGTGAGTACACGAACAGACACAATAATAATAACTGCGATCTCTAATGCGCGTCGCATAATAATAATACGCACCGAGTGTATTAAAGCACGTTTCGTCACACATGTCGTCGCCGAAGAAACTCTTGTTTCTGGTTGAATGTAGATCGCGCGAGTTATATACGTGCGGCTAATACCTAGATCCGCGATATCAGATTTTATCGTTTCACGTGAAAGAATGACAATTAACGAGCCGATTTAGGTTCTGAATTACGACACACTGCGTGAAGGAAACGTCTAAGCGCAAACGTGTGCGCTGTGCATATAGGTACTTGTCTTGTACTTATCTTGCAACACGGCAGCTGGAGATCACGACCAAATTAAAAAAAAAAAAAAAAAAAAAAAAATAAAAAAAAATATATATATATATATATGCGATATATCGCAGTAATTTAATTGGAAAATAAATGTCTATAATATTTCCATACATCTTCGTTTCCCACCCGATAGAAAAAATATAATAATTTTAATATTTTCATATTTCGCAATATAAATATATATATCATTAATAATTATTATTAATTGATAATCAATCTGTATTATAATATATATAATGTTATTTCTACAAAACAAAATTATTATTGGAAAATATTTTTAAACAACAAGCGGAATTATAATTCATATATGTTCATATAATATTTTATTATATGTATAAGTATTTTATTTGTTAAAACTTAGATCAGTTGGATTCGCAATAATCATTGGCAAAATCAAGTGGCATCTGCTTATTCTTACCTTTTGTTGTCAGCTAAAATAACGTTTACTGTTTCAACAGTCTCAGAAAGTATAGCTTTGAATCTTCAGTCGATTTTTAGCAAATTATTTTTTGAACAAATTAGCTAATTTTTACTGAATAAAAAATTGTTCAGATGACAAAAAGTTTTCTTAGTTTTTATAGAAAATAAAAAATCTTTAATAGACAGCCTTTCATTAAGAATAAAGAAACATCTTATTTATATAGATGTAATCCAGAGTTTTTGAGTCAAACGACACTTATTACGCTGGCAGATGTTTCGCACGATTACGAGACATAAAATCATGTGTGTAAAACTGGCGTCTCATTTCGTTTGTCTATATTTCAGCTTAATTAATATTATTTGTTTTCAAAAAACAGAATTTTTCTTAGAATTCATATAAAACTTTAATAGTAAATCTTTTCAATCTTGATAATAAAAAAATGTAATAGAATAAATTGAGACGCTGCTCCAAGTTGCCGTGTGAGTTTGTCTCATTTTCGTTGCTGATCAGAATTATTTGTTTAAATTATCAATAACTTTAGAATTACTGAAAATAAAATCAGAACTCTTAATTATTTTGAATTTCCACGAACTAAGATATCAATTTCACACATGACAAAATCGCAATGGAAACAAGAACAATGTTACGAGGAAAGATAGAAATAGAGTCTATGACTCACCATGAAAACCATGAACCTTGATTGCAGGTTGGCGCTCCCGATGTAAGTCAGCGTTTCCAGCCACCGTGATGATCGCCGGGATGGTGTCCGCTTCCACTTCACTTTGTTACAAACTGTCCTTTTTTTCTTCTTCCTTCACACTCAACACAGCCGCGAGAAAAAAAAGTCGATCTCACTTTATCGAGATTATACGCACCGGATTTCTTTTCCCCCCTTTTTTTATTTTATTTGCCTCTTAAATATGACGACACGAATGAAAAGACGCCGAAAATTATTGTCGTTGAGAGAAGTACGATAAGCGGACGTATTTATTCACGAAAAGCGATTTTTATTGTTTACACGATCGTGCAAAAAAATGCGGATCCACACGCGTTCCTGTCTCTCCTGTCGCAAATAATCGACAAATATCCAACTTGGGATATTTTATTAACTATTAATTGATCTAGCTAAGTAACTTATTAATTGGCTATCGCGCGGTGACGACGAATATTGATCGTCTACCGGCATTCGATTGGCATACTGGCATGAATACTGGCCCGTTCGGTTCCGGTCACCTGCAACATATAAATGGACATTGTCTGCATTAGAGAGATTGTCGTACTATCGAAAATTAGGAAACGTAACTAGCGTTGCGGAAATAATCATTTCGATCGCCTTTGTGGCGCAGACCGAGAGCTACAACACCGAAATAGAAGATATTCGAATCAACATTTTGCAAATATCTTTTACATCTCAATCGTACACATGTATTATTGTTAGAAATAAAAAATATCTATTATAAAAGCGAATTAGTGATTCATCAACTTACAATTAATATATAGGTACGCACAATCCAATATTATATTTATAAATCAATAAAATTTGTATTAGTGATTATTATCAGTAATAAATTTATTAACAAGTAATATGTAAAAAAAAGTATAAAATTCATACAAATTTATTAATAATTTATGTAGTATCAAGATTTATTTGCACATATTTAAATATATTTTCATATCGAGATAAAATACATAAATATATAATATAGTAATTTCCTAATTATTATGTGCAATTTTATAATAGTAATTGCTTATTAAAGCTACAAAGAATAATATAAATACTTTTTCATTCTATGTATTATGACAATTCAAGCTAATAGTATAAGGAAAGATGTTCTCGACGAGAGATTTATTGAAGCGGAAATATTAGTCTCCGTTATTTTGTTCTGAGGATCTAGAGTATAGTCAATCGGATTACAAGGAAAAACGTAGCGAATCGGATAATAGAGTAGTGAGTGAATGCAATGGCATCATTTTGCGGGGCGCGGTCGAGTATGTTCAGGCCGGGCCTGTGTGACGCACCCGGTCTTTATTTAAATCATTCAATCCGTCACGTTATAATCGATTAACGTTAATAGTCGAAGAAATAGAGTTCACCGTAGCTCGAAGCTGCTCCCATTATTTTCGTACCTTTCATGACCTACGAAACTAGAATTTGAAAAACCATAATGTTTAAAATTATACAACTAAATACAATTTTACGTTCTTTTTTCACAATCATATTTCTCAATATTTTCCAGCGATCAATATATATAAAATTATAAAATTTTATATATATTAATTTATATATTTATATATATTTTTATATATATTAATTTATTAAATTAATAATCTCTTCAAAATATTTGTAAAATTTACAATAAATACTGAATATGCCATGTCAAAATTAAAAACATTGACATTCTGCAAAAGTAAAATATCTTTCATCTAATTAAATCTGCACGCGAATATTTAACGAATTGGTAAAACAAATGGAATAACAGTAGAGTCGCTTCCTATATTCGCTTGCGCGCTCGTGTTTTACCACTTGTTTGCGATCTTGCACATCTATACGTCTCGCCGGCGTATGTTTTTATAGGTTTATGAATGGAGCAGCACGCGTGCCCGTCGACTGGAGCACACTGTGTGTAAGAGGCGGCGGCAGCGAAAGTGACCTGCTCTAACTTGTATCCGTTCGCTTGAGGCGTACATCACGCGTGTATATATATATATATATATATATATATACATATGTGTGTATGTGTGTGTGTGTGTGTGTGCACGCACGCACACATTTATATACATATATGCGCAAGCAAGTAGATAAAGAATCGTCTTGAATAATCGCACCAAGTGGCAAACCGCAGGACGACTAGCGCAAAACGTTGGATGCAACAAAGGGCGACTTTGATTTCTCTAGCGACATCGAGATAGAGAGAAACATATATTATCAGAGAAAAAACTTTTGTACGAATAAAATATATTTAGATAAAATAAAAATATGATATTCGCAGCGAAAAAAATTATTGAAAATCAATTCAATTGTTTTTCTTTAAAAAAATTAAAAGATAGAGATTATAAGAGATAAAGATATAAATTCTTGTATCTTATCAATTCAATGTCAATATGTACATATATACGGAGAAAGAGAGAGATTCAGTCTTCCTCTCTCTGCAAAGAACAAATAGTTTCACCTATCAAAAGATAATTAACTAGAAATTGTTAACTCTAAATGATTAATTAAAGTATTTAATTAAATGTTAAGTACTTTTAGTAAAACTGCTCATAGAGAAGATTCAATTAACCTTATATACATTACAAACTGGATATAAATACTTAATAGAATAATGAAGATTTAGCATAACATGATATTCATTAAAATGCAGATAAAATCATATCAGAATCATTAGTTATCATCGTTAGGCATCGTATTTTATTATTACCATTTGTCACAATCGATAGAAAGTTGCAAAGCGTAAAATTAATCATGTATCTGCATATTCAGCGCAAGAACCAGACAAGTGACTTTCCCGCGCGACTACGATACTAAACTAATGACTGAATTATCTCATTTGAGTTAAATGAGATAGCTGCATATACCAAGGTGCAACGATAATCAGGTTGAACTTGAAACTTTCATGTAAGACCGCGATAATAACCGGTCTCACGGAGCAACATATAATATTTCAAACCGCTTTAATCTGAGATAAAGTAAGAAAGTATCAAATTTCTCGATCGTCGTTCATCTCAAAATAATTGGTTGTATTGTAACCTGAATGATACGGATAAGTATCTCAAGCGAGTTAAAAATGTATTATTCTTTAAAAAAAATCTGTTAGTCAATTGTGCATTAAAATTTATAATGGAAAAAGAGCGCTTCCATATATTATACTTATAATGTATAGCATGCATATGTACGTCTTCAAATTTTCTACATTATATTTTCCTTAATTACATCGATGTGTCCATATGACTATTGTATCGTAATCTTCGCAATATATACCGTTCAATTTTCTCAAACAATTATCTTGATAACGCGAGTTTTGTTATGCCGTGCTAAGTAAATAAAAAATGTAGATATACTTCCTCCTGTCTCGTGCACTGCTATCGAATCGCCTAATTATTTGCACGCAAAGACTGATACGGTTGGCGCAAATAACTGCATTGTACGATAACGCGTTAGATAATGATCGACGCGTATCAGGTCAGATGCCATGTGTGAATTCGCACGAGTTTACTATTGCCAGGACATTACCTTATCTGGTCTTATACCCGATTGCCTTGAAAATCGCCGCAGTTGGTAGCTGCATATAGATAGCTGCACCAAACGCGAAGCATATTTGTGCAAATCGCAGTAGCGCATCTTGCAAAATATATTCCCGATTATCTAATTAATTCACGAACGCGCCCTAATAATTTCTCGACTTCCATTTCTCGCTCCGATAAAATTGATAAATAAAATCAAAATAATTATAAGATATATATACTTGATTTTCACAATATTGTACAATTCGAATAGGATTTTATTTTTTTAAATAGCTGCGCATTCGCGGTAAAAGGGTTAAGATTTATTTCATGACGACAAATGACATTTCGAAAGTGCATAAATGTGCAAAGATAAAATAATTTTCTAAATAAAAATTGTAAAGATCCCTTTATTTATTTGGAAAGCCTATATGAGTAAAGAAATATGTATATTGTGTCATCAGGAGTTAACGCGAGACTGATATTGAAAGAAAAGGAATATAATTTTTGTAACATTAGATGTAACCGTAATCTGCCACTTGGTTGGTGACTGAAACGACACGAGGACGCGATATTGAACGGTAGCTGTCAGCGTACGATCCTATTAGCCCGCATTGTATGCTAATGAGCGCTTGTCGCCTGTGATCCGTGCTTATATCGCATTATATTGTCGACAGCGGTTCTCAACGAGTGAAAGAAAAAGAGGGAGAAAGAGAGAGAAAGAGAAAGATTCGCACTTTTCCGTCGTGTCGCAATAATTTATCGCCTCATCACCGTCTCGCCGTTTATCCGTCATTTTCTCGCTATCGAAGTCACCGAGCAATTTCAAATCCGAGCGCAATGCTATCGTCGGCGTCTTAGTCGGCGGGATCCAATTAATCGGAGCCAATTAAAGATGCAATTACGTTGTGCTCCGCGTGAAATTGATTATTCTCGAAGCAGACAGGGATGAGAGCTGTTGCTATGCGATTACGGTCGGATTACGGTCGATTTAACGCCCTAATACGTTTCGTCGATGGATAAAAAGAAAAGTTCCGGTAGGAGAAACCCACGCTCAAAGGGTTACGTAAAATTACTCGCGGCTTTAGTGAAAAGTTCAGTCAGTAAACGCGAAAAACAAGGGGACAGCGATGAAAAAGGGTCGCCGCTTATCGATTCATAAACAGTTTACGGCTTGGTCTAATTTCTCTTTTAATCCTTTGCACGCATTTTGAATCTAAAACGAGAACGTAAACGATCGTTATCGGTTATGACATCAAAACTGCTCGGCAAATATTACACACGTGTATGTATACATAAGAGAAACAAAAATTACATTTTGCGGAACATTTAAAGATGTGAACTATATATAAATTCTGAACATATATTACATAGATATTATGATCTATTATAATAATTTAGCTGTCCTGTTTTCAGTTATATTAATATATATAATACAATATTTAATGTATATAATTTTAAGCAGTCTGAAAACAGTCGAACATAACATATAGCCGATGAGGATACACTGTGCTTTAATGAGCGCGTAAATTTTTTTATGCGCCATTAAAGTGGTCATGAAAATGAGTACGAATATACACGCCTTCCGCGTACAACAAAGATCTTAAGAAATATAGAATAACTTTGGTGCAATGAATTTTTCTGCAAATGGCTGGAGTATAATTAACAACTGTTATTAGTGATGGTTGTCAAAGTATAAGCCTATAGCTCATCTCAAAACCGCCATCTAGTTGACTGCTCAGCTTTAATACGCGTGTGTATGCATATATAAACGCCCGAACCATGCACATGTATATGAATAATATCATCGACACTTATAGCATTCGAGCATTCGATACGTTATACGTAAACACTGAATTAGATATCAACAATTAAACGAGTGAAAGTCCGCAGTAATGTAATGTAACATAAACTAACAACGTTCAATCTACATCGGAACGAATAATTATCGCTCATAACACGTTCTCATAATTCAAGGTACAATCTCATTATGCCAACTTTATTCAAACTTA